CCCGCCAGACTAAACCTATTTCTTCCAATAGGATTTGTACTCTAAGAATCCTCAGAAGTGTATCATCATTTTTGGTGCCAATCACCTCAGCCCAGTAAGCGGAACCTCTCTGCCCAGTCACACAATACTTTGAGACCAATTGCGAGTTTGAGTCCCAAGTTCTCCTCGAAATGTTCTAATTAATCAAGCTTGGGTAGTACCTGCCTCATCTCTAGAGCTTTGAGAGCCTACAGTACAGTCAAACTCCAAGCTCCTTTCAAGCACCCAGGATGCTGTTTATAGTCCCAAAGGGAGCAAACTGGGTCAACAAGGCTTCATTGCGAGCAATTTCTGCTTGGGTTAAGACTGAATCCACCAAAGATGATTACTGTGCACTCCACCTGGGGAATTTCATCTTCCGGGCTGGCATATGAAGACATTCCAGCAAAAACTGGAGGGCAGACCCTGGTAATCTCAAACCCTATGTACTTTTCATTACCGAGTAAACGCCCCTCTACTAACAACTGCGAAATTTGGGAAAAGCTTTATTTTTCTTGACCGTTAATTCTTGGCATAACCTTCTTGTTTCAGCTAGTTATTTACCATATGTATGCTGCCATGGAGGCAGCCAAAAAGTGTTTGCCATGCTTAATGTAATTTTCCTTTCCTGGTTCCTACTAATGGCAGCATAAATGCCCACTTGTGTTTTAACCTATTTACAGGAATGGCTGGCATTGGGCTCAAACAACCCAGATAACACACAAGTTAAAATAAATAAACATAATTTTTGGTTTTGGAGGAGTGAAACTTGGCGAAGAAAATCCATGCACTATGAACTGATGTTGCTGAAATGACGTCAGTCATCGGAGCTGGAAGTAGTAACGAGGATTGGAACGCAAGGTGCCTCCCTCCTCCAACCAGAGTTCACACGGGAAAATACAGTCACTAACACTACCTGGCCATGCCATCACCCAAAGAGAAGGGTGGACAGACAGGGCTGCAACCAGGGGTACTTCAGGAGTCATCTCCCCCAGGAAAAAAGGTCCAGGAACCATAAGGGAGAGCCTCTGAATCTAAAAAGGACAAGACTGGAGTACAAGACATCACCCCAGCAAAGCCACCAGACGTGAGAGCGCTGACCTCAAGGCCAACCAGCCAGGGAAAAGAAACAAATGTGCCATCACCCTGGATGGTAAGAAACAATCAAAAACTAACAGATGAGGGGGTTTTTAAACTTCTCTGATTGTTTCCTGTAGATGGAAGGATCAATCATCTCAGGTTGCTGTCCTGGAAGATAATGGGGATAATAAAAAAACAAACTTACACAATGGCAAGACTAAGTAAAGCAAGAAGACACAGGGTGGTCTTACTGCATCCACAGGGTCCCTTACAAGCAGAAAAGGAAGACAGGTGGTTCTAGAGTGCTGCCCAAGCTTTTCTGCAGAAGCACAAAAAAAGGACACTGTTGAGGACCAAAAGCACACTGGCCGGCCAAAGAAACAGTGCCGCAGATGAAAGGCATCGTGCTGACCTACCTTTGCAATCAGGTGTCCAGGGACGTCGTCGTCATGGATTTGGCAGAAACTAGTGGTAACCTGGTGCACCCATATACAGTCCAGAGAAGTCTGGTCAAGTGTTCTTCATGGACCTTACAGCTAAAAAGTCACACCTCTGACACTGAAACAAGGGAAAGCAACTTCTCTATGCAGATAAACACAAGTGCAGAAAAACAAATCTTCAAATGTTCAAGACTGATACAGGTCCAAATTTAAAATATTTCGGCTATAACAGAAGCAGTTTTTTTTTGTTGCAGGTTTGAGGTTTTACATTGGGAATTTGCAACAAATGAATAGTCTCTTCCTTCTTTATTACAGTTGCAACACTCTACTTACCCTCATCATGCAATACACATCAGGGAGGCATCACTCTGCAGCATGGCAATGACCCCAAACATACAGTCAATGTCATAAAGAACTATCTTCAGTGCCATGAAAAACAAGAAGTCCTGGAAGAGGATGTCTGGGTATTACAGGAAGACAGATGCAACAGACAATCTAAAACCGCATAAGAACTGTGGTTAGTGCTCCTAAATGATTGGCACAACCCACCAGCCAAGTTCCTTAAACTGTGTGCAAAGAGTATTGAAAGAGTGAACGCCCAAATATTGCTATCATTATTGATATTTATGTACTTTGTAGGCTGTTCATTGATAAAAACTAGAGATGCACCAAAATTAAACTTTTAGACCAAAACCAAAAATTACTCCCCCCCCCCCCCCAACCCTTTCAAAAACTTTTTAATTTGCATTTTTTTTGACCCAAACCTTTTAAAAACGTTTTCAATTAACTTATTTTACTGTTCGGGGCTTTGAGGACCCCTGATATTTCCGTTTTAAAATAGAAAAAGATTGAGGGCACAGAGTCCTCAAACTCTTTCTGCAGCCCCCGGCACTCAATGAACAGGAAGCTCTCAGTACAGAGGCTTCCTGTTTATTCACAATCTGGAGATAGTAAATATTACTATCAACCCAGTCATGAATGGACAGAAAGCCTCTGTACTGAGCTGCTTCCTGTTCATTCATAAAGTGAGCAGATATGAATGAGGACATAGTAAATATTTACTAACTGAAAAGCACTTCCTGTTCACTCATAACTGGGGACATAGAAAGCTTACCATGTCCTCATTTACAAACACTGATCGCTCAGTGTTTGTGATCAACTCTGCATCCTGAATGCTCCACCCCCTTCTGCCTGTCACTGAGCTCTTCTCCCCACAGGGCCTCCGGACATGTTCCCTCCTCCCTACCGGGTGCCAGCAGCTGGATTGGCTCTGTGTCCCCTTTGATCCCCACTGCCTCTGCCGACACAGGCTGGGGGAAAGCAGCAAGTATAGGAAGGAACACAGACCAAAGCTTGCAGGCGGCACCCAGCAGGAAGGAGAGAAGCGTTTCGGTCGTTTTTGTACAGTGTAAGATTTTCGGCTGAACTTTTGGTACATCCCTAATAAAAACTACCCACTGCATTATTTTTAAGCATCATCACTACACAGCATCTTTCACAAGCCTGTAACATTTGCACAGTACCATACACAAATCTTTGTACAGTCAGACTTTTGGTTACGTTATGCTTTTTGTTTTTGACAATAAGCTGATCATTTTGACGTCCATGTATAAAAAAAATAAATGCTTTAGAATGTCTCCACGTGAAATCGGCTACAGCAGTGGTTCTCAACCTGTGTAACCTCAGGACCCACATTTGTCCATGGTCATTAAGTCACGACCCAAGTAGCATTGCAGTACCACGCGCTCCGGTGTAGGCGATCTAACTGTGGGTGCCATTCAAAAGATCAACCCAGTCTCCATACCTTACGAGAACTGGAGTGGATCCTCAGCCTGGGGTCCAGTGGGGGCTGCTGTGCTGTGACAGAGCTCCATCCATATGTGCATTGCTTGCACAGCTCCCTTTGCGTTCCCTATAGAGGTTCCGGGAGCCAGAATGTGACATCACTCTGGTCCAGGAACCTCTACAGGACACGTGAGGGAGTTGTATGCATAGATGTAGCTCCCTCACGGCCATAGCCCCAGCCCATCCCACCTCAAGCTGACTCTCAGCACCGGGCAGCATATTTTGAATGGCTGCTTGGTGTGAGAACTGACAGTGCTGCACTAGGGGGAGGCTGAGAAACCTCTCACCTAGTAAAGTGGAAGGCACGCGGCGACTGACTGAAAATGGGGTCTTAACCGTGTTTTGGGTCACGACCCACCCACCAGTTGAGAACCAAGGAGCTACAGTATACCAGAAATCCACCGTGACATTTATACAACTTTACATTAGAAGACTTCATAGGTGCACAAAGTGCTTTTATTTCCAAAAAAATTACTACTTACAAATATATATATATAATAAAAAAAACAAAACATTAAATCACCACACAGAAAATGATGGCGGCCATTCCTAAATAAGCCACGCAATAACCAAATACAAAACTAGACACCATGCTGGGAGCAGAATCATCAAACCTGTTTATAAAAAAACAAATGGTACAAAGAAAGTGAAAAATGGAGGCGTTTTTTTTGTGTGAAGAAGTTTTCCATAGAAAGGACTTTCCCAAGGGCAACAGATCCAGAAGTAAATATCTTGGTGCTGATTAAGTGCTTTTATTTTTTTTCTTTCCTCTGTGATGCAACATCAACATTAATGCCATCTTTGATGTCTTCACCCCTTTGTAATGGGGCTAACCTATGTGCATCCTTGTGACGTACGAGAGGTAGAATACAAAAGTCAGTGGTGAGCAGGAAGTATTTGGGCTCCAAACACAATGTGAACAATGCTGCTTTCATTGGGCATATCACACGTCATTAATCCTTCACAGACAAGACAAAAGAGACCTGTTAGTGTAGCTGGATACAAGATGACAATATTGCATAAAAAAAAAAAAAGCTAAGCGGCAGCAATGCCACCATGTGATCAGATAAAGCGCCACCATGTGATCAGATAAAGAACAATATCTTGCATACGGAAAGAAAAAGTGGAACCCTCAGATGTTACAGAACTGCTGTAACAAGGGGCTGCAGAATGAAGGAAATTTGGGTCTCCTTTGGCAGTTCAACATGGAGATGAAATTCATGAGAAATGAATTGTAGACATCAGTGAAAACGTGTATTTACAACACCTGGATGGCACTGCCAAAATCAAAATGGCCACGGAAATAAGGATGAGGCGGTCCCCCTTCAATCTGCATTTTGTTCTTAGATAGCAGGGACCTGTTACCTTTAGGTTACAGCTCTCGCACACACACACACAGGTAGCTAGGCTCGTCATAGCCACACAGTTTATTTATTGACCAGCTTTTGTTCATACAAGGCAGCAACTGTTCATCTCTAGTCATCACAGCCCATCAAGCTCAAGGCAAAGGCTAGCGCAACACACTTTAGTAGTTTAAAGCTGCTCGCAGGTCAAAGCGTTGTACAGCGCTAACTTGCAGTACGCGCGTTTTATAATCTCTGCTCTCCGGAGATGAACAGCGTAAAAACTCTGCATGGCTGTGACGTGCTTAGCTACACAAATGCATGAGAGATTACCGCAGTGTGATCTGGGGGTAGGGGGGGGGGGCCTCAGGCACCGTTGGAAGATTGGCAGTGACCACAAGCACCACTAGCTGAGATTAGAAGCTGATGCTGCCAGGCTTTATATGTCATATGTCTTTCCGGCACAGTGAGGAGAGGTTTTATAAACGGATTTCCTAGCTCGAGTGCTCCGGCACTCACATACAGTCCATTGAGTTCTCTGGGATTGGGTTCAGTGCGCCGGAAAGACCCTTCATAGGTGCGCAGGTCGGAGGGAGCATAGAATGAGCGGCAGGGTCCACGTTCTCAATATCTTCCATCTTTGACTCGCTTGTGCTTTCCCAATTGATGTGAAAGCGTGTCACGCGTGGGTTTGATGCTAAAATGTTCCTCTGGAGCTGTTAAAGAGAAGAAATCAGCTGTCAAAAAACAAAAAGCTTAAAGAGTACCCAGATCTTTGAAATGAGACAATTTTAGAAATGTTTAGTAATGACAATCTACACACAGATACTTCTAGATAATTTCCGGCTTTTTATTCTTTGCATACCTTGTTTTACTTTTACACCCCATTGTTCTCACAGAGGCCATTTTTTACTAAGGGCAGGTTACTAGATCTCCATTTACTTCCTGGAACTCTGGCACATGTGACCATGCACATCTCAGGGGAGGAAATTGCCTTTCCCTGAGATCTTGTAAAGGTCCGCCTCAAAAGTGTCTGTAAGCCCAAAATTGCACTACCTAAAATTTGTTTGATTTTGTTACACGGGTTCAAGTTTCACCCAATCCTGTCATCCATAGACTAGGCAAAGCACCTTGCTTGTCAATAATGACGCTCTCATTGGTTTTTGGACACACAATGGGAGAGGCGCCTTGGATAAGTGGACCTTCAGTGCAGTTTCTCTTTAAAAATGATACACATGCAGCTGTGAGATGGAATCATGTACAGGGATTCAGCTGTTGTGCAGACGGTAAGGTGAATTGTCTGAGGCAGTTTAACAGTTGACAAAACTATTTTGCCCATAGTGTTTTCCTTCTCTTTCAATACACCACCGAGAGACAATGGGGGCAACTAGGCCCAGACCAAGCCCACCTTGGCAGATAGGAGTGTTGGAAAAGGGCACTCCCCACCTCTGGGGGGAGGGACTTGAGGGCCCAGATTACAGGGGTAAAAGCAAATCCCCCCCACCAATAAGAGGGGGCTGTGATAACCCCCAAGCCCTAGGAAAAAATAAAAATAAAAATCAAGACCAAATTAAGTGAGAGGACCCAAAATAGGGACCCTGAAGATGCAGGGATGGTTATTCCCAGAGAGAAAAAGAAAAAAGGAGGAGAGAGAAAGAAAAAAGGAGAGAGAAAGAAAGGAGGAGAGAGAGAAAGAAAGGAGGAGAGAGAGAAAGAAAGGAGGAGAGAGAGAAAGAAAGGAGGAGAGAGAGAAAGAAAAAAGGAGAGAGAGAAAGAAAAAAGGAGAGAGAGAAAGAAAAAAGGAGAGAGAAAGAAAAAAAAGGAGAGAGAAAGAAAAAAAGGAGGAGAGAGAAAGAAAAAAAGGAGGAGAGAGAAAGAAAAAAAGGAGGAGAGAGAAAGAAAAAAAGGAGGAGAGAGAAAGAAAAAAAGGAGGAGAGAGAAAGAAAAAAAGGAGAGAGAAAGAAAAAAAGGAGAGAGAAAGAAAAAAGGAGAGAAAGGGCTTCACAGAACCAGACTTCCAAGGCAGAATGTCCGGGAGGCCGTATACCTTAGGATGAAGGAAAAATAAACCCTAGCTATGCTTCCCTGATAGGTCGGAGGAAACACATAAAACTGAGGTGGTTAGGGGAGCGGCTCCTTTTATTTTAATTGTGGATAATGCATTTCCTGTTTAGGTGGGTGAAACCTCTCTCTCCTGGAGGATGAATCGCAATACAAGTGTAAACACAAAAAGCTGAAAGAAAAGTCTTCGGTGATTAGGCCGTACCTGAGTGAAGTTGGGTTTCAGTGGCGGATTCTCTCGATGTTCAGGGTCGGAGTATTCATTATTCACATAGTAGCCAACTCGGATAAATTCTTGACCTCTGTATGTGCACGTGATCAAGACGACTGTAACCCCCACAGCATCCGACTCCGGGATAAGGCTGCAATTCGGAGCTTCCGCCTACAACAGGAAAAGGAATATATTATACTTTCCGGTGATACAGTCATCCACACAGAGTACACGGTGGTTGCTTTATAAAAGAGATCACCTCGGTGGTACCAGAGCAAAGGGTTTAATATTCAACTTACAGGATCTGCACCTCCCAGACGGGTATTTGCAAACCTCTCTCGGCTGTGCTTCTAATTAAACCCAACAAGCATATTTCGGCTTTTTGCCAATGTCTATGCAGAGGACGTATGACAATATGAAAAGTATTGGTTTAAGCCCATCTCCGAGCAAAATTAAACCCCATCTTTGTCCTTACCACCATCTCTCAGTTCACTGACTGCAAGCACTTTAAAGTTTTTTTTTTAACCTCTTGCCGTCCGCCCGTAGTAAAAAAACGGACGGACACGTGACCCTTGTTGGCTCTATTACCAGAGTGAAGCCTGGTCATTCAGCGCTGCTAACTGTCCCCTTCATCGTGACACCTCCGCAAACCAAGAGACCTCACATGTAGGTTGCCCCGTTACACTGCTTCACCTGCAGTGTCTGGCAGTGTTCTAATACAAAATGAACACAGGCACCTCTAATATCGCATAGCACATAGAAATGAAAGGAAGGTTGGGCAGACTAGAGCAGGGCAGTAATGACAACCTTCATAGAAACAGAAGGAATCACAGGCCAGGACATAGCAGTAACGGCAATCTTTATATCCGAGGTCCCTATAGCCATTTCTTGATACTTGCGGGATGCTTTATGCACTTCAAAAGGAGGTAACCTTATCCCATAGTTCTCTTTAGGGTCACGGGAGGACTACACGAACATTCTCCGGTGACCCAAAGCTAAATATATAGCGGGCAGCCCACTATACACTGAGTGCGCCCCAGCCTGGACGAATCCCAATAATACTATCGAGATCCACCGAGCTGGCCGATTGACAGCGGGCTCTGCCTATCTAGATCAATAGAGTCGACGTGTGACAGTTTCCATGTAACATTTCGGCTCTATTATTATAATAAAGGATTTATATAGTGCCAACAGTTTGCACATCGCTTTACAATATAAGGAAGACATTACAGTTACAATTCAAGACCAGATGGTAAGAAAGGCTCTGCCCCTGAGGGCTTACAATCTAAAAAGGGAGGGGAAAGTGATATGAGGAGGTAGCTGTGTGGGGATGAATTGTTTGAGAGTTCGGTGGTTAGGTTGAGGTGGGATAGGCTTCCCTAAAGAGATGAGTTTTTAGCGATCGCGGAAAGGCAGTCCCAGTGGGAGAAAGACAGACAGGTTGGGGTAGGGAGTTCCAAAGAATGGGAGAGACTCTAGTGAAGTCCTGGAGGCGAGCATGGGAGGAGTTGACTAGGGAGCTGGAAAGCAGGTCTTGGGAAGATGTGTAAATCACTCCCCTCATGGTTCTCCATTAATGTAAGTTATTGTGCTTTAAAGGTAACTGGTTATGAGAGAAGCTGTCACTGCTGATCTCAATGATTGAGAATGCCAATTGCCTGTCTGACATGCTGATGATTTGGCTTCACTACACAGTAAGTGAGAATACAGAGAGAAGAGGAATTGCGGCTCTTTCCCATCTATCCTTTATTGTACACTGTGTGTGAATGAAAAATACTAAAAGGCA